AAATCTGGGTCTTCCCCAAAAACTGGTGGATTACTACAGACAGAAAACTGGACAGTTAACTTTTGTTTTTAAAATGTTTTAATATTTTATTTTAAAGAGGATAAAATAGAATAAAACCAATCAAAACAAACAAATATAAGAGACACAGGACTTCAAGACATCAGGAAATCAACAATAGTTACCATAATGCCTTTTGATGTCTTCAAAATAGCTGCAGATAAATTTAGACACAGTAAAATCAAACAGAACAAAATAGAATTGACACAATAAAATCAAAACAATGGATGCAATAAAGGACTTCAAAACAAGCCAGTAGTAAATCCAAAATTGCTACTATATCTTTCCATCCTTGAAACAGCCTTTCCTGACATCAATTTAACATAATCAAACAAAACAAAAGAAAATAAAACCTAATACAACAAAACAATGGAAGCAATATAGAACTTCAAAACAAGACCATAGGAAATCAACAGTGGCTGTAACCCTCAGAAGGAGATCCCCTCTAGATGCCACACTGCACACGGTATGCTGCTATCCTCTGAATCTACGATCAGACCACTGGCCTAGACCCGTAATGTTAGTGAAACACCGACGCATCACAGGTATCCAATTGTGTTTCACCTCAATAGCAATCATCACAGCCTGTGTTTCTTTGGATGAGCCAGTCACTTACAAGGAGGAGAGCGATTGGTACTTTTTGTTTGCCAGCTGGCAAGCTGAAAGGGGCTTGGGCCTGGCTGTTCCCAGTCTGGTGGTGACCTGCACATGGCACTGCTCCCAGACAGGGCTTGTTTGCTGGTGTGGCCTTGTTCTCTCTCCCCCTAGTCCGTGAATGGCACTGACTCATGGAGAGAGGTTTGGGTCTAGCTGTTCCTAGTCCTGAACAGTTGATCTTTAGCTTCATTTCTCACTCACCAGTTTATTCCATTTCAACCTCTATCCTGCTGTCCCACGCAGGTAACTGGGAGGACTCAGGGCAAACAAGAAGCTTAAAGAGAAGACTCACAGCTGTTAGTTAGGTAGGATTCTCTCCGACAAGTGACAGTTTCTTTCTTATCACTTAATATTCAGTCCTATATGTGTGTGGTCTGCATTGCTTCATCTTCTGATTAGCACTGTATTACTGCCTTTTTAAATATAAATCAGCAGCCAACAAGAACTAGAAATGTGAAGATTGCCTCTCAAGTGAAAAGAGCAGAACAAATATCCGATATTAAACAGCCTTAGAGCTAGAAGGTGCGGTACTGAATAAAAATAATAGGCACAAAAAGTAACATTCAGAGAATAAAATAAAACCTTTTGAATATTAAAATTATGAAAATAATTTAAAAACCTAACTTTGAAGAAAAACTTCGGAGAAAATTGAGTAACAACAAAATGAGGACATAAAATTATTGAAGAAACAAAGCAAGAACATTTCTCTGCACTGAAGGACCTGAAGTTTCAGATTTCAAGAGCTACCTCAGGACTGAAAAAATTAAATAAGAACAGTTTCCATCAGGGCATATCTTCATGAAATTTGGTGAGAAAAGAGAACTAGAGATTCTATAACAAAAAGAATGAAAGATGAGCAGGAAGAATGAATGAATTCAGCGTGACGATAAATTTTGATCTAAAATTCTTCCCAGAAAAACTGTTCATAATGTAATGGTGAATATGTTTCACCAAAGTTAGGAAGCAAATAATCAGCAAGGAACAGAGAAGATCCAAGAAAACATATAAACAGATGATAAGCAGGAAGAAAACCCAACCAATGAAAACAGGGAATACTAGCTCAAAAGAAAACGCATATATAAGGAAATATAATCAAAATACTCTGTATGGCTCAGGTAAGAATAATGCTTTGTGGTCTTAAGGGTGTAAACCCAATCAGTTTGACAAAGAAATAGATGAGAGAATCTGATTAGGACAGGAATATTTGAGATATTAGGATGTTTTGGGGGAAGAGCTGATAATTAGGACTCAGGTTAGGAGTATCCCTGAAATATAAGCACCAAGAAGGCAGAGTTTTTGTTTTGTTTTCTGTGAATTCTTAGTGCTGTAAACAATACCTGGTATTCACATAGTAGGTCCTCAGTAAGTACGTGTTGAATGAATGAAGCTTTCTCTTGTTCAATATTTCTTCTGCGAAGTTTTTAAAGAGAACATTAAAATAAAAACAAACTGCAAAAGTTATAGCCTATCGGGCCAGTTTTTCTCTAAAACCCTAATACTGTCTTCAAAATCTAAAAGTAATGTTGTTAACTAAGGTGAACATCAGAAAGTTTAAGAGATGATTTAAAAGACACAGATGTTCCTAAGAAACTATTCTCTTTAAATGTATGTGTTACTTAGGTTGATTAGAGATGCCTTGAAGCTCAGAGCAGTTCCAGGGAAATCAAGATGCAATTTTCTCAATTTAGAATGAAAATTGTCTTATTGAATTTTCTTCCAGTTCACTCACTACTGGAATACAAGGATAGGCTGACATTGGTTGTTTTTTGTTTCATTTTTTCAAGCCGGTGGACTCCTTGAGCACTTCTCACATTAGATTCCAGAAAGTCTATACCAGGAAACAGATTCCAGTAATTTAAAAAAGAGGAGCTCCCTTGGATCAGCGATGTGTCTTCCAGCTTAATGGATCTAAATTGGGTCTACATTCCGATTCAGCTTGGCTGCAATTTACTGTCTGATTCTCAGGATGATGACTCCCTCTGAACTGTTTGTTCAGCTCCTCGATTTTTCTGCCTTCACTGAATGAACATTGTTGTATACAGACCATGCACTGTGCAGACCCTAGCGGAGGGAGAAACATAGATCCAGTAATGATGGATGCTAGAGCTATTACATCTGCCCCACAGGCAGCCAACTGGGTATACTTGCTGTTGTCTTGGTGGCCTTTGTAGGAATTTCTACCTTCTCCACCTCAGACAATAGTTCTGTCAGGTCTTGTGGGCCAAGGAGCCCTTCTGTACAGCCTGGGATCTGTACAGCCCCTGCACGCCCGGGGATCTCACCTTCAAGTGGCAGTGCAGAGTTTGTTCCAAGTCTTCAGAAAAGTCTTAGTGTCACAGATCTGCGTTTGGAGTCCCTTCCAGGTTGGCTTTCCAGCATCCAGCCCTGATAACTCAAAGTTCTCTCCTGCTAAAAATTTGCGACTTTTCGAGAGGGCAAACATCAATCAGGACCCCTCCTGAGCTTGTTATCCGAAGCATCTGCCCGTGGGGGTGGGGAGCCGGCTTCAAGGGCTTGGCTTGGGGGGAGTCTTGGCTCTTAAGTACACTCCTTTTTGCCTGCCACGCTGGCCCAGAGCTCTGGGAGAAGTGGCCCTGCTAGAGCTACTGGGCTACCAGCTCTGTCAGATTCTCAAGACTTGGGGTGGTGGCTAGAAAGAGGTGTGTGTGTGTGTGTGTGTGTGTGTGTGTTTGCAGGCGCGGAGTGCAGAGCCTCAGGCAAGTAGCTAGCACCTTCCAGCTTGCCCTTTCCAGTCAACTGGCCAGTCGGGAAGAGGATCGCAGAGCTCCCTCTGCTATCTGCTGGGCTTTAGTGGGATGGTTCTCAACTAAAGGCCTCCCCTTTTCTAGATCTGTGTCCCCGATTGCAGCTGCGACAGAAAGCGAGTTTCCCGCGGAGGCGGTCAGGAATTTTTAGGTGTTCCCTGAACTTTGGATTACTCCGGTATTAGAGGTCAACCTGTCACGGAAAAATGACCCAGAAGACCTAGACAGACACCCCCTGAGAGCCTCTCTTACTGGCAGAACCAGTAGGAACCCCCGGAATCCCTGAGCTTCGTCTCCCTCCCCCCACCCCGACTGCTGAGCTTCCAGAACTCGAGGCTAGGGTATGCGAGCGTCAGCGGGTACATTTGGGGGCGCAGCGCAAGTCTGAAGTCCAGGGCATGGAATTTCCCTCTGTCTCCTCCTGCCCCAAACCCCTTTAGTCAGAATGGGAAATCCGCACCCCCTCCCACCCCTCCCTAACCCCGCCTTCGGCGCGGGGAGCGGGCAGCAGGGACTCTTACTAAGTAAATGGGGGAGATGCTGAGTTCGCGTAGGTGGATGGAAGGACGTTTGCAGCTGCTCGTGTTTGGGGAGCAATGTGTACCCTTGTCAGTATAAAACAAGCCTATTTCCCAAAGCAGAAATACCCGGCTGCTTTCCGGTCTGGGCGCGGTCGCAAAGCCTTAGTGCGCTCCGTCTTTGGGGAGAGCTGGTGCAGGCGAGGAGCGCAGTACCAGCAGGGGGCTGCACGAGTGTGACCGGCTGGCGTGTAGCCGGGGTCCACATACGCGAGTGTGTGATGTGTGACCGTGGTGCGGAGGATGTCAAGTCCCCCATCTGCCCGGTGGGCTTCCCCTTTCTCCGCGGTGGGCGCAGGACCCCTGCGCACTCAGCTCTCAGGAGTTCCAGGAAAGAGGAGCTGAGAAGCAGAGAGAAAGAAAGAGAGCGACCAGGACCCATATCCTCCCCGCCCGGCAGCCTGGAGCGGGATAGCTGTGTAAAGCGACTTCGGTGCTGCAATGGGAGGTCCGGGTTGGGCGGAGGATGCTGGACCCACAGCTGAGGGTGGGAGCTATTCCAGGGGCGAGTTGGGAGGCTCTGAGAGAATGTTCCAGGCTCCTTTCCCTCCCGTCACTTCTCCCGGGCTATTTCAGCGGAGATCCCTTTAGAACCCAGGCCTGCGGTTCTGTCTTCCCGGGGGTCCGGGAGCGGGTTCCCCTATGGGTGTGGCAGTCGGACGTGAGTCCTGGAATTGAGGGGAGCTCTGGTCGCTCACTGTAGATGACACCACACTCTCCCCAATTTGACCCCCCCCCCCTTGTGCACGTACCCGCCCTCTTTCAGGCCCTTCTGCTCCCCTGCAATGACCTCAATGCAAATGACAAGCAGCAGCAAAAGGTCCCTTCCTGGGAGAATTCATTGGGTTGCAAGAGCTATGACGTAATCAGAGCTCGGTCGATCCTCTAATTGGCTGGTCTTGGCCACTTTGGATTGGCTGAGCTGCCCGGACACCCCACCCCCAGGTGGTATCATTGGAATAAGAGCCAGGGGCTGCGGGGAGGAGCCCACAGCAGGAGTCCTGCTCTTGGCGGGTGGACTCACAGTTCGGCTGTCCTGAAACTCGTGTCACCAGGTGAGGATCTTTCCTTTCGGTCCCCTAGGGTAATCCTCTCTTTCACCCCTCCATGGTCATTTCAGCTTTCCTGCCACCGGGGGTCCCAGCTCTCTTCCTGGCCCTGGCGAAGGCAGTTAGGGTCCTCCTGATACCTTCTCCCTGAAGCGGGTGGAACCCGAGAACCCACGGGCTCCGAGGGTCGCCGGGCGCTGGGCGAGCCCAGGTGGGTGTGTCCCTGGCACCAGTCTGGGACGGGTCGCTGCGCAGAGTCCTGCCTCGGAGAGTCCTGTGCCACTCACTTTTGACAGCTGGGACCGTGGAGCCCTGAGCTTTCCACTGAGCGTCCGAGATCCGCGAGCTCATCTAGAAGTGCAGGTAGTCCTGACATCTGTAACTGTCAGTTAAAAAGTCTCTCCAAATCCAAATCGTGGAGTTGAGAGATTAGCACCCTTTTCCAACCTGTCTAGTTCCAGTGTCCTCCCTCCCACGCAGTGGTGCCACAACCAACAGAAGACAAGGGGATCATAAATTTCTCAGTGAGAGGGCGGGGGCAAGCCTACAGCAGGGTGGGTCAGCCGGAGTTTCTGCACAGGTCAGGGCAAAAGGTTTGGGTGCGTGTGCCTGTGCGCGCGGGCTTCTTCCTGCCCTTCTGCAGATTCCGCCCCTCCCTCGCACCTGTCTCCCCACAACTGTTTCTGCTCCACTGAGAAATGCACTAACGCATACCTCTGGGATTCAACATAGCCTTCTGGTAAGTAAAGGTACAGGGGATCAAAAGGTCAAGCAACTTGCCAGAATCACATGGCAGTTGTGATGGAGGCAGGACTAGAAGCTAGGTCTGTGGTTCTGGTGCAGTGATACCGTCATTCTCCCCTTACAGAGAGGCGACATGGGCTTCCGGAAACTCTCCCCCTTCCTGGCTTTCAGCATCTTGGTCTTATGCCAGGCCGGCAGCTTCCAGGCAGCGCCTTTCAGGTGAGACAGCTTGAAGCCAGGCATCAACTTCTCTGCCTCTGCCTCCTGGGGCAAACAGTTGCCTCTAGTGCCACATGTAGCTCTTGGTGAATCGAAGTCCTCAGGAGGACATCGGCCTCAGGTCCTCTCCACTGGAAGTTGAGGCAACCACGTCTTCCGGGGAAGAAGCAAGGACCAGGCTGCTAATCCTGGAGCGGGGTTCACCAAGGGCTCAGAGTCCATACCCAAGTTTGCTTTCTCTACCAGGTCGGACTTGGAGAGCAGCCCAGACCTGGCCACACTCAGTGAGGACGAAGCACGCCTTCTGCTGGCCGCACTGGTGCAGGACTATGTGCAGATGAAGGCCAGTGAGCTGGAGCAGGAGCAGGAATCAGAAGGCTCCAGGTAAGGCTCCCACCTGGCCTTGACTTATCCAGGAAAACCAAGATCAGATAGGCAGGAAAAAAACCTTCCCAGGAGGCCAGCAGGCTGTCCTGTTCCCCATGACCTGGAGCCTAGCTATTCTCAACCTTTGTGGAAGACAGAGGTCCTCGTGAAGCTGGAGGGGCTGTTAAAAAGACTGCTTTTTGGGCAGGGGGTATAGCTTAGTGGCTCAGCGCCTGCTTGGTAAGTGTGAGGTCATGAGTTCAATCCTCGGTATCTACACAAAACAAAAGTCAAAAAACTAACTAAACGGTACAATTGGGAACATGAGAGACAGAGAGAGAGAGAGAGAGACAGAGAGAGAGGGAGAGAGACAGAGAGACAGAGAGAGAGAGAGACAGAGATAGAGACAGAGACAGAGACAGAGGGACAGAGAGCTTTCTGAAAGTTATTGGGAAAGGAAACGAGGGCATATATGGGATCACTCTGGGAGCTGGTCTTGCAGTACTGGGGAGACATCACAGCTCTGGAGAAATTACTGTGGGGAGCCACTGGATGGATTCTATATCCTACGAGATTTTAGGAATTTCACCTGTTGTTCTTTCATTTGCATAGTTATCACCTTACATTTGTAAGATTAAGAGAAAGCCCTTAGAGGGGTCTGGGGACAGGTGGGGCAGGGGCTGAGTTGGGGAGATGTGCATGTTGCCGCAGGACCAGGCAGAGCACCCCTCCCTGCCCCAGGGTCCTGTGTAACCAGACCCTGGGAGAGAGACCAGTCCTGGTCTGGCCCCTGCACTGCTCAGGTAGAGGCATGAGTCAACCTGCATCCACCCTGAGAAACCCTCAGTCAGGCAAGAAGGAGTGAACTGCGTGTGGAATGCCACTTTCCTGGCCCTTGTGCCTCTGAGCCCCCTAATGGAGAATATGTGAACTGCCCTCCTGCCTGTGCCTCCTTCTCCACCTAAAGGCTCGTGCCTCATCTAATCTTAACCTGACTGTGCAGAGAACAGACCCTGCACATAGTACTGTCTGGCATGTCTTTTCCTTGTTGCCTGGACAGACCCAGATCTAAGTGGTGTGGCAACCTGAGTTGTGCTGGGCCTGTGCTGGCGCAATTCACCTTTTCTGATATCAACTGTTGTCCTGAAACACTGGCAGGAAAAGAGATATAGCCAGTAGCTTGCAGAGGGACTGCTGCTTTGCTCTGGGGTGCCTCGGGATACCAACTGAGCTCTCCACTGCTTTCTGATTTCCTCTCGCTTCCCTTATGAACTCGATGCATGTGGTATTGGTAGCTTTGCTTGTGATAGAAAATGTTGAGGATGTAAGGATGGAAAGGGAGAGAGCAGAACTCCGTTAGGGCCAGGGGTAAGAGATAGAGCCTTCAGAGAGTTTCATGGCAGAGGTTTCCAGTTTCTGCTTTTGAATGTATTAAAATAAACATATCCATCGTGCTTCATCCTTTGATGAGTGAATCTTTTTCTAAAAGGACATGAATTACGGTGGTCTCTGCTCTGGTCTGTATCTAACACTTGTGAGTACCTAGTGCCTATGCTCAGGAGTAGCTTTAGCTTCAGGGCAGCTGGACACAGGGCTGGTGGGTAAGTGTTCTCTGTGACCTTCCTCAAGCACAAAGAATAGTGTGGTACAGAGCAGCTAAGTATTTCTGGGAGAAGCTGCAAGATCTTTTCTCTGAGCTTCTTCCAGGTAAGACTTTATGGAGTTTCATTTTCACATGGAAAGTTATTTTGTTGCTGTTTATGGTTGGAGTACGATTTCTCCATCCCCCTTGTGTGTCCTGGTGTGGGACTGGGTCTTGCCATCTGGTCCTTCTTGAATGATAAATGCAGGGTTTCAGCATGTGCCCCATGATTCAGAACTGTTGTTTTGGTGATTGGTTTTGGGCAGAGATGCTAACAAGGGCTGCCAGCCATTTCCCCTACCAGCTTTGATAACTGCACTTAGAGGAAACATTTACTGTTAAGTGGTGTGTTCAAAGGAATGCAATTCTCCTTATGTTGGTGGATGGTTTCTACTCCAACTTCTGACAGACAGGCCTTTTCTTTTTTCTCCATTCTGCAAATCAGTGTCACTGCGCAGAAGAGAGCCTGCAACACTGCCACCTGTGTGACCCAACGGCTGGCAGGCTTGCTGAGCAGGTCAGGGGGTGTGGTGAAGGACAACTTCGTGCCCACCAATGTGGGTTCCAAAACCTTTGGCCGGCGCCGCAGGCATCTTCAATCCTGACCAGCTAACTGGCTCCAGGAAGCAGGTGAGTGCCTGCTACAATGGGATGGGAGGAAGTGTTTTAGAGGTCAATGTCCATACTTTGAAACCTGCTGACCCTGGTAGGTTTTTGAGACCTCCTTTCTAATTCCATTCTTCCATGTGAGGTAATGACCTTGAAGTCAATGCTACGATAGAATTCAGAGACACAGTGTTACTTTTTTTTCTGAGAAGAGAAGTGAAGAAAATGTTTGTTGGATGCAGAAAGACAATGTCTATGAAACTTAGCCTGGGCCACTCCTAGGACAGTGAGCCTATGCAGCAAGATCTATCCTGGTCACTGTCTACAGTGCAGACCAGAGCGACATCATCATATCACTGTCAATATTTATAGTCACAGTTGAATTATTTTTTCTTCATTTGCCCTACAAGCCTGCTTATATTGCTTATCCATAATTCATAAATGCTACTTAGTGGAGAAGCATGTGCACGCGTGTCCTCTTTAATGATATTTGTGATTTCCTGTCCTCCTGTTCTCTTTATGTTCCTCTTTTCATCTCCTTCTTATCCTCCTCTTCTTTCCTTTTCCCTCTATATTTTTCTCTTCTTTTTTTCCCTCATCCCAGGTTACCATGAAGCTGAACTCACCACTTCTAGTAATTCCTGTTGACAACAAGTTGGTGAGAAGGCCCCATGGAAGATACACATGTTTGCATCCTAATCGACCCTGAAAAAAGCACCTTTGTCATTTGAAAGAAATGGAACTGAATGCAAAAATAAGCTAATTCCATATTTATTGTGCATAATTTTTATTCCACGTCCAGTGAATGTAATGACATCTCCCATTGGCTTATCTGGTAGCAACCTGGCTCCCTGAGAGCCATCCTGTTAATCATAGTGGCTCTGCCAAACCTTAAGCAGACATGACATCACTGCCTCTTGCAGCCTCTGGGAACACATGGTATTGCTGTGCCTTGTTGTCTAAGAACATGATTGTACAATTTGTTTAAGGAAATGTCATAGTTGTGCCATTTGTGAACTTCATCAAGATTAAAGACATATTTTCGATACATTTGTTTCAACTTGTTTTTCTTTGTAGTACACTACAACTACTACTAATTAATAGTTTTGAGTATTTATTGTGGTCCAGATGATGTTGTTCTAAGTCGGTGCTTATATCTATGAATTCATTTAATCTTCATGACAAAGCCAGGGCAGAGATATTCTGTTTCAATTCCCAGGATATGGAAAAGTCAAGTTCAGAGTTAAGTCACTTAAATAGACAGTAACTGGCTCAAGTGCTGGTTGTCAGAGGTTGCAGGTGAAATGCTTACATTATACGCTTTTTACCAATGGCTCCTGATGTTTTTTTATAAACCCATGAACCATTTTTTTTCCCTATCTGCCTGTCATGGAAGATACCCTCAGATTTTGGGGACATGGGGAGAGTTCTAAACATACAATCTAGTCTTCATCTAATTTAATTAATTATTTGTACCTGTTATTTGGCTTCAGGAATGATCAGTAGTCAGTGTTGGTATATCTATGTACCATCTGCTTTCCTAATCCTAGTACATTCTTTATCAATACATCAATATTTTCTCACAGATTTCTAAGTTGGAAGGACTCTTTTAAACATTATCCAAATCCTATTTGACACCTAAAATATATGAATTAATTAATTCTTTAATATCACACACTTAGTCTTGGTCAAATCCCCCAGTTACCACATATTTATTTGTGTGTAATCAAATATATACAAAACCCAGGTTCATATGGGGTCTTCATGTTGCTGTTGGTTGATGTCTTAAGGTTCCTCTAACCTAGAGATTTTCCTTCTGTATTTTTCCCTTGTTATTTGCTTGTTAGAGAGACTAGGTTATATGCCCAATAGTTTCCCACATTCTGGATCTTGATAAGAGCATTGCCATGGCAGGGTTTAACATGTATTTCCTGTGGGCTGGCAGTCAGACGAAGGGTGAGTGATGGCGATGAGAACTGGGAGATGGAGCTAAAGAGCAAATAGAATAGACCATCTAGGAGTTTGTGGAGCACAAGAAAGACCGGCTCTCCAGTCAAGTTATAGTCAGAATAAAAGGCTGTATCAATAACTTTAACAGAAGAGTATTTAATACAGGGAAATGGCTGAACATGCATCAAGGTACTGCAAAGGTAGAAGAGAACAGAGGTTGTACAGTGATTAAAAAATGTAGAGGAACAAAGAGAAGAGGTGGGTAATTAGAATCCAGAAATGTGGGGATTCTCAGATCACTGAGAAAGAAAATCTGACAGCTGCTGGTCTCCCCGGGGGTGGTAGGGGAGGCCAAGGAGGCTGTTTGAAGACAGAATATAGAAACAGGAAGAATCTTCAGTCAGAGAGCAGAGCAACTCTGGATGATGCTGACAGCAGCAGAAATCGAAATCTGAGTCAGTTCCTTTTCTTCATGTCTTCTAGGACTTTGAATTTCAGTTTGCGGAGTATTTAACTGGCAAAAGAAAATGTGGTTTGCAGAGTGTGAGCCCCGGGATTCTATTACACATGCCATTATAAATTTGATCACAGCAAATTTCATTCTTTTTAGAGTACAGATGTGTGAGTGTTGACAAATCTGTCCTGTGCTCACAGGCACAGCAGGTCCCTCCCTGCCCCACACTCCTGCTTCTCTCCCGGGGCCAGGTGCTCCCTCCGTCCTCAGGCCCACTGACAAGCATCACACTTTCTGCTCCTATGCCTCGTCTTCTCCAGAACGACAGCCAAGTGGAATCAGGATGTGGGTTGGAGTCTTGCCTCTTGTCTTTAGCATGCTGCACTTGAGATCTGTCTATGTTTCCCACAAATCAATAGTCTGTTTCTTTTATTGCCGAGTAGTGTAGGTTGCCAATCCATAATCCGAAAAATCCAAAATTGGCAATGCTCCAAAATCTGAAATGCTTTGAGTGTCAGTGTGACACTATAACAGTGGAAAATTCCACACCTGAACTCGTGATTGTGTTAGCCAAAATGCAGACTCACTAAAAATAGTTCATTTCCCTAATGACTAACAATCAGGATCTTTTCCTGATATTATTTCCCCTCTGTTAGTCACGTCTGTTGAAGTGCCTGTTCAAAAGTTGCTAAATTTTTGGTGTGTTGCTTGTTTTATTATTGTTGAGTGCTGAGAGTTCTTTATATGTTATGGATGCAGGATTATAATTGGATAAACATTTGAAAAGTGTGCCCCCAATGTTTACCTTATTTTCCACTTCTACAGCAGTATCTCCCATAAAACAAAAGTTTTAAATTTTAATGAAACCAGATTAATCGTTAAAAAATTTTATGAATTGTGACTTTGCTTCATTCTAAGAACTTTTTGACTACCCCAAGGTCTGAAGGTCACAATGACTTAAAATCATTTACCTCCAACCCTCCTCCCCTTATGTGTGGCGTCTGTGTGGTGATTTGCTTCTAACACTAGAATGTGGAAGAGGGAACGGTAGGTGACATCCAGGTAGAATATATAAGGCCTTGTGGCACCCTCCTTGAGTCTCTCTTAGGTCACTCGAGCTACCCTACTTGTGAGGACTCTCAAATGGCCATATGAGAGGTCTACACGACAAGGAGCTGGCATCCTGACAACAGCCATGCATGGGAGGTTACAATTGGATCCTCCGCCCAGATAAAACCTTCAGGTGACCGACCCTGAGGAAGGACCACCCAGCTAACCCACTATCAAACATAAATACTGTGAAAAACTTTGTTGCTTTAAGCCACTAAGTTTTAGGATGATTTGTTATGTATCAATAAATGAGATAGCTTTTCAACACATTTTTTTTTTAGCTATACTTTTTTTAAGGGCTTTAATTTGTTGGGTTAAAAACTCTTGCTTTCTATTTCCAATCTGCTGAGAAGTTTTTATTTTGTTTTGTTTTGTTCTGTTCTGTGTTTATCATGGATGCGTATTGAATTTTTGAAATGTTTTTATGCATTTATTAATTTGATCATGCTTTTCTTAAGTTTGTTATGTGGTAAACTACTTCAGTTGATTCTTAAATGTTGCAACAATTTTGCATTTCCAGGATTAACTTCATTTCACTGTCATGTTTCTCTCTTTCCATATATATAATATATATAACATACAACATATATTATATACCACATACTATAATATAACATATATAATATATAACATACAACATATAACATATTTTATATAATATATAATACAATATATATCATATATTTTATATATAATATATAAGTAATATATATTTATATAATACATAAATAATATAATATATACTGATACACTGTGTCAAACAAAGTAGTCATGAATATCAAGAAGATGCTTGCTAATAATTTTGCAGATGAATTTTTTGAGGTTTATGTTTGAGGAGAAAGTTTATGCTTCTAGTGTTTTTGTTTTGGTGTCAGTTTCTCATAAAATTAACAGTCTCTTCTTTTTTTGTTTTTATAAGGTATCAGTTAGAAGTGATGTCATTCTTACTTAAATGGTTGGGACATTTTTCCAGTGCAGCTCTCAGGGCCTGGAAGTTTCTTTGTTGAAAAGTTTTAAAACATTTACTAAATTTATTTTGTATAAATAACTGGTTACAGTTTTCTTCTCATTCTGTGGATTATCCTTTTACTTTAAAGCAAAAGGTTTTAAATTTTGATGCAATCAAGTTTATGGATACTTGTTTTGGGAAAGGATACTTGTATACCAGGTGCCATATCTAAGAATCCATTACTTAATCCAAAGTCACAAAGATTTTAATTTTATTTTTTGGTATTGAGGACCAAACTCGTGACCTTGTGCTTGCCAGGCAGGTGCTTATGCTGCTGAGCTAAATCCCTGGCCAAGTCACAAAGATTTATCTACAATTTTTTCTAAAAAATTTAGTGTTAGCACTTAGATTTGTTTTCAATTATTTTTGTCTATGGTGTGAGATAGACATGCAAATTCATTTTTTAAGAATGTAGATGTTTAGTTGTCTCAGCACAATTTATTAAAAAGTTTATTTTTCTGCAAAGGATTGTTATGGAAACTTTAAAAAAGATCAATAGACCAGAGAGGTTTATTTATTTATTTATTTATTATTTTAAAAAAAATTTTATTTAAGGAGAAAAAAAAAGCAGAGAAAGGGTACAAGTTATACAGATTTACAGAAAAAAATAAACAGTAGGAAATCACTAGTTAATGGATTACATATTGTCATCTTAGAAATAATTGTTCAAGTCACAAAATTAAAGCTTGTAAAGTGGACATTCCAACAATGATACTGCAAACAGTTCTGTTCAATGATCCAATAAAACTCAGTGATATCGTTTTCTATCTTATACACTTAAATATACATGCAGTTACATCATTTAGAGCAGTTTCTTTTCCTCTCTTTTGTACAATGACTATTACACATTTTGGGTTTCATTGCTCCCACGGTTCTTATTACTTTTTTGGAAGAGAGTAAAACCAAATGTGACATAACAGAACAGAGTCGGTCAAATCAAAAGGGTGGACATAATAGATAATGTAAAAACATAATACAAGGTGATCAACAATGGTTACCATAATGCCTCCCGCTATCTCTAATAGAATTGCCTATATCATCAGTTATAATAAAATTGAACAAAACAGTAAAGAACAAAACCGACAAAACCAAAACATTGGAGACATTGCAGGTCTTCAAAAGTAGATAAAAGTCAACGAGAATGGGCGTCATAATGAATCTCACTATCTTCACAGCTGTTGCCTAAACTTTTGAACCTGATACTATCCAGCAAAACAGAATAGGGGGACATCAGTCAAAAACAAGATGGTGAGAGTAGTACAGGGCTTTAAATCAAGATAATGGAAAGTCAAAGTGGGTTACTATAATATATCCTGCTATTGTTATTTATTTTTTCCTTAATTAAAAGGATAAAAATAAAAAAAAATAAATAATGGAGTGGAGATTGAGATAAAAGAGGGCATAACAGCCAAACAGCGCAGATCAAAACATAACCAGTTAAGCAGAATAGTGTTTCACCACAAGATAATCCTGACATAAAAGTAGTTACCATATTGTCTCTTTCCTTGAAATCCTTGAGTACAAC